ATAGATTCCATCAAAGGTTGCAGAATAGATGAAAACCACTTCGACTTAGAAAAATATAGCACGTTTTACTGCAAACAAGATGTAAGAATTTTAAGAGAAGGTTTTGTAAAGTTCCGCAATGACTTATTGAAAGAGTTTGATTTAAACGTTTATGACTACGTTAGTATTTGTTCTATTGCTAACAAATTGTTTGAGAACAGAGTATACTTCCCGAATGGAAATCTTTATGACCTCTCAAATAAACCAAGAGAATTTATTTCGAGATGCATTCAAGGTGGAAGATGTATGTTGTCAGATAACATGAAACAAAAGAGCAAAAAGAAACTCATTGCTGACTTCGACACTGTTTCATTATATCCTTCAGCTATAGCAAGACTTTATACTTTAGAAGGTATTCCAAAAGTATTGAAGGAAGAAATGTTAAGCACAGAGTATCTCATGAGACATTTATTCGATGACGACCAAAAGGAACCCATTGGTGAAAAGTTTATGTCTGGCTTCTTTGTTCTCATTAAGATAACAGAGATTGGTATACCCAGACACTTTCATTTAATAGTTTGCGACCCTGAACTAAATCCAGAACTTAACGTTCCAAGAAGTTCAAACACTTGCTGTCTCATGTATGTTGACCATATAACATTACAAGACCTCATAAAATATCAAGGTGTCAAATGTGAAGTGTTGCAAGGATACTATTACGATGGAAACAGAGATATGAGAATAAGAGATGAAGTAAAGAAGTTGTTTGAGTTAAGGTTAAAGTATAAGAAAGAAGAAAACCCCTTACAAGAAATTATAAAACTCATTCTGAACAGCATTTATGGCAAAACTATTCTATCTCCTATTGAGTCAAAAATAACCATAGTAGATGACAAAGATGCTATAAGATATGCTATAAGAAATTACAACCATATAGTGAAGTTCGAAGGTTTGGATGGTTCAGATAAAACTATTTTCAAGCTAACGAAAAGCATTTGCAGACACTTTAACTTCTGTCCACTTGGTGTTAATATTCTGTCTATGTCAAAACGTATTATGAATGAAGTATTCTGTACTGCAGAGGACATGGGACTTCAAATCTTTTACCAGGATACCGACAGTATGCACTTATATAATGAAGACATCCCAAAGCTTGCAGCAGAGTTTAAGAAGAGATATGGTCGCGAACTTATAGGAAAGAACCTTGGTCAATTTCATAGCGACTTTGCAGAAATAACACCTGGAAAACAAAGTTTAGCTTATAAAAGTATTTTCTGTGGAAAGAAGACCTACATAGACTTACTCACTAACGATTTAAATGAAGTTGCATTTCACTGCAGAATGAAAGGCGTGAAGCAAGATGTTATTGCTTTAACCGCTAATGAAATGTTTCCTGAAGCTATACAATGCTATTACAATGAAGATAAGAACATTCACATACCTGTTGGAACATATGACAAAGACTCTGAGTTCAGTTTAATGAAACTTTACAAAGCACTTCATGATGGTCAAGAGATTGCATTCGACTTATGTAAGTCATGTCAACCTTGCTTTGCTGAAAAGTTCAACTTTTCAATAACGACTAAAACAAGCTTTATTCGTAAGTTGAAGTTCTGAGGTCATTTATTTTTGTCAGCAATGAGGTCATTCGTGATAAAAATAAAGCTAGCGTAGATTTTACAATACTGCGATGGTAGAGTTTAAGAGTTGTGCTTCAATGTAGAGACAGTCCTTCCCATCTGGAGGCAAGAACACTGGACATTTATGGTCATGAGTGGAGAACATGTCTATCCAAAACTCACGATTGAAGCCAGTTAATTTATAGTATTTAGGGTTAGGAAGTGGTGAAGTTCTTGTATGACCAATGAACTCATTTTCAACGCCTTTGGCTATATTAGAGTAAAGTATTGCTTGCTTTCTATCCCAAATGCCAGGTGTTACAATCTTTGAAAATTCATTTTTCCTCGGAAGCATTGCATCATAATTGAAAACATTCTTAAAATCATCACTTGGTTCGGAGATTTGAAATCTTATACGTAATGGATTTTCTTTCTTTTTAGCGACTTCATTGAATGGTGAGAATACAATGAATTGACAGTCATGAGTTCCATCTTCATTTTCATTAAATTCATAATGAAAGTCTATAAGTTGTGGCTGACTACCTTCTTCTTTCAGTTGTGCAAGAAACTCACGTAAAGGCTGTAAAGTTTGTACTTCAATGTTGAACTTTTTCTCGAACATCTCATTAAATGAAATCATACATTGTTGCAATGTTGTATCGTCTTTAAAGTATTTGTATATGTGAATGTTTTGGGCGCTTAAAGACTGTTCGTCATTTTCTATCTCGACTTGAAGTATAAAGTCAACCTTTCTGAAAGCACGTGTTATATACATAGATGTTATGCCAATGTACTTCTCTTCATTTATGTTCACAATCCAGTCTGTTGGAAACTTAAACGTTACTCTGTTCCCCTTTATTTTGACGTCAGGGTTTTCACTACTGAACGCAACAGTTAAAGGTATTTGTCTATACATTTAATTCGGATAAAAATAAACCATTTACTCTTTCTTTGCTTCAGCTTCTTTAGCTTTTGCTTCTTCTCTAGCTTTTTTCGCCAGCAAACGTGGGTTCTTCTGTCTTCCAGCAGCTAATGCAGCTAGTTGTTTTTCACTAAGTTTTCTCTTTGGTCTCTCTGGCTTTTGTTCTTGTTTTTGTTCCTTCAGTTCGGATAAAATTTGCTCGCGAATTTCTTTCTTCAATGCTTCAACATCTATGACACCTTGGGTCTTGTCCGTAGGGCTTGTCTGAGTCATTTGACTGCAGATAAAAAACTAAATTAAAACTTTAACCGATGTAAAATGAGCTTGTCAAAATCAGAGCGAGAGTCTATTATATTAAATGACGCAAGAGGAATACAACATCCTTTCTATTACGTAAGTCAGAGTAAAGATGGTAAAATATACGTAAGAAAAAGAAAGGTACCATTAGCGAATGCAGAGAGCGACAACATTAAGGTGCATGGCAAGGGTGAAGTCCACGAAGCCCATATAAAACCTTCTGTTCAAACTGAAAAGTCAATAGAACCAGAAGAAAAGAAGCCAGATGTACTTTCAATAACGAACCAAGAGCTTATTGCAAAGTTCGTGAATTTCATTGAAAAACAAACCGAGTCAAAGAACCCTGACCCGCCAGTGAAAGAAGTTGAGACAAAAGAGAATGTACAGTTCATTGAAAATGTCAAGAAACAACTTCCACCACGAATACCAAGAAGAAGAGTGAGAATAATGAAGTAAATAGATATTTTTATCTGAAGTAAATACATGCAGAACGAACAGCTAAACGAATTTACTCCAGCAGAGCATATTCATCAGATTCGCTCATATTTCGATATCATAGACAATGCAGTTCAAATTGGTGACACTAATAGAAAATATTCTGACGCAAAGATTCCATCACAACCTGAACTGCTAAAGATAACACATGGGTAACATTCAATCTCTCACCTCCTGGGAAAATATGTTGGACCTTTACAATACATTCATTACGTATAAAATGGAAGGTCAATTTATTGCAGATAAAGAAATTGGTTCAGGTTCCAATAAAACAAACCCACCAGGATTTTGGATTGGTTTCGATGACGCTTTCTATGCAGTTGCTGGATATATCAAATCCTTGCAAATGGTTGTATCGTATATTCTCAAGACAACGCAAGAGAAGAAGCAATATAAACTTCAAACTCACAAACTACCGAACAAATAAAGAAAGTAGATGTTTTCTCAAAGACTCGACATGAAGATGTATGGAGTCATTCGGAACATGCAGAACAGGACAAATTGTTAGTGGTCCAATTACAGCAGGAAAATCATTTGATTTTAAGCTTCGTTTAAGAATTCCTGTTAGAAGATTCCTTCCATTAGAAGCTATTCGATTTATTCCAGCTTTTGCAGGAAACATTCAGCTTAAAGTAAAGTTCAGTAGCGACGCCTTACAATGCACATCTATATCTGTAAATGATATCATTGCTTTCAATCCAACTCTAAAGTTGCATTTTGCTTCAGATTCAAATCCACCGACAAATAAATTTGTTCCATGGAATGAACCATTCACTATGATAACGAAGGCAGTAGAAGCTAGTGGAACAGTTACTATTACAACTGTAACCCAGCAACTATTTCGAACAAAGATGGATTTTAATGAATGTTTCATTCATCCAAAGTCATTCTCTTTAGACCCTAACATTTATACAGAACTTGTAGAACATTATACAAACGAGGCTTTATGTTTTCCTGTTAAAGTTATGGATTGGATTCCTATGGACGGTTCATTCTCAAAGAATACAGATAGTTCAAGTGCAACATTTACAGCAGCTTATACGCCTATTAATGTTAAAAGTATTTGGGCACTATTTAGAAAGAAAGACAACTATTATGTTAATTTTGAGAACCCTAAGTTTAAATATCTTCAGCTTTCCATGGGAGCTTATGGAAATATGCCTGCAGAACCTGAAAAATCATATGGACCTGTATTTTATGAAATGGTTGCGAACGCCTGCAATACAAACAATGATATGATAGGATTTAATGAAGATGTTATGAGGTCATTGGTGGATGATGGTAGTGTGGAACATAAATGGGATAGCTATGACAACACCATTTCTTATGTGGTTTTCCAACAGAAGTGGACTTTTGCTTCCAGCAAGGTCAAACATCTACTGCTCCAATAACATACAAATTGTCTGTTAAAGGACCTATTGAACTAGCAACTGAAAATGTACCAAAGCCACTTATTGGATTTATGAGGGATTGTTGCTTTGCAATACAAGTAAGACAGTCAGGCATACCAATAATAAGACTTGACGACTATAACTTAGCAACTGACGACAGTGAGGAATAAAGGATGAACGTTTATTTTTAAAGCTTATAAATGAGTTCTTCATCAAGCTCTCGTGAACCTTCACCATCTGTGAAACAAAACTTTACCAAACGATTATGGAGCACCTATTGAATATTTCTTACGAGCTGCACAATGGCAAAGAGCAGTTTCACCAAGGTTAGGTGTTCCACCAGCTCCTGTCAAAAATAGCATTTGGTCAAGTCCTTATATAAGATATGGTCTCCCACTAGGTTTGCTAGCTACAGCAGGAGCAGTTATGATGTTGAAAAGAAATAAAGCAAATGTTATAAATAATACTGAAGTAGCTGAAGTTAAACAAACTCCAACACCTTCGTCAAAACCAACGCCTTCACAAGCAAAACCTTCAATGACTCCTGAACCTATGGAAGTACAAACTCCTGTTCAAAAGTCAACTCCTAAACCGACTCCAACATTTAAACCAGAACCTACGCCTCAAATAAATCGTAAAACTCCTGCGTTTCCTTACTGAAAAATAACGTTATTTTTATTTTATTTGAACATTTTTATTTGATTGAAATGACGACTAAAGTCACTGAAGCAATGAAACAAAAGTTTTTGGTAGAATACATTAAATCAGGAATTATTCCAGAAGGTTTTTACGTTCATACTATGAAGGATGGTAGAGTTCAGTTTAGAAAATAAAGCAACCATTAGATAAAGAAGGAATTTTGAGAAAGATTAAACTTCATGAGGACAACATTGCTAAACTTAGGAAGAAGTTAGAAGAGTTGGAGAAAAGAAGAGAGTTATAAAGCAATGAATTCAACAGGTTAGAAATGAGGTTAGAAAACGTGTTAGATCTAACATTCTAACATAAACATTATTTTTGTGCTATGTTTTCATACGTGTGAGGGTGGTGATATCATTAATTTTAAGTTTATTTTTTATTTTTACTGAAAATTTTTATTTGGATGTAAATGACAGAACAAAAGCAACTCATTCGAATTCCACAGTATAACAAACATACATTTAAACATTTATTCTTCCTTCCTGAGCATAACATGTTCTTTCAAATACATCCGAGACCAGTTGACTTTTCATTGACTGTGTATAAAGATAGAAATAGTTATATCATTAAACCATACGATGACGAAGGTAAGTTATGTAAATTGTACGTTAAGAAGTTAGAGAAAGTTTATGGCTTCAAGTATGACTACAATAGGGTTAACACTGATGATGAAGATATTGAGGAAAATTTATGAGAACATTAGTGAAGTTGTTAGTGAGAACGATAGTGAGAACGTTTATTTTTTACATTAGTGAGTTCGTTAGTGAAGTGGTTGGCGGCTTTGTAAATATTTAAGGTTAAATTAGTTTTTGCGTTCATGTTGTAAAATATACGTTAACGGTTTTGTAAAGTGTCAAATTCACAAGTATTGGGTAAGGTGGAACGCAGTGCCACAATACCCAAGACTTGTATACTAACTAGAGGTTTTGAAAAAAGCAGAATATATAGACTGGGATAGTATATCTGCTAGACTATTATATAGTGGTGCTATAAGAGTTCATGACATTGAAACACTTATGTCAAAAGTTTTATATCTTAACTATACAAATGTTTTCAAAGAGGACATAGAAAAATATATTGAGGGTATAGAGTTTGTGAGATGTTATTGGACAGAGTTGTATGAAAAATATAAAGACAAGGAAAATGTTTCTTTATAGTGGACCCGCCGTTCTATAACACATGGGATTTTCAATACCAAGTAGACTGGACTTTGAGAGACTCTTTAGAAACTTTAGACGTTTTACATAACCATCCATGCTTTTACTTTACATCCGATAAAAGTGGTTTGGAAACCGTTTATGAGATGGTTAGAGGACATACATGACTATGAGTTTAGATATGACAAGATAGAATATGAGAGAGGTCCTATAAACGGAGAAAGTGTCATAACAAAGAAATTTTATTAGTAAGTAAATGTGGTTTGAAATAGGACTACTTGTTTTAGGTTTTTTCCATTGTGTCATTTATTTATTTGACGTGGCAGAAAAGTACAGAGAATATGAAGATGAACCAATGCCTGCAAATGTTCAGTATATGTACTCGTAAGAGATATTTTTATCTAATATTAAATGGACGCACAGAACTTAGCGAATGCACAGCAACCTGGACAACCAAACCCAGAGAATATTCCAAATGAAGTTAGAATACAAACTGCAATGGCAAACTATGGTCAAGTGCCAACAGATGTACAAATGCAAACTGCCATGTCAAATGACGCTGCGTTAGGTTTGCCACCATGGTATGCAAATATGAGATGGAAAGAGTTTTATACAAACCCTGAAGTGGGATATAAAACACTTTATGCAGATGACGCGAACACAGGAGTTGACCAGAATATGTTTTCTACCAGAGGAGAAACAGAATGTATGAGCTCCAGTTAAAGAATGCTATGGAACTCAACAGGAAACGTAAGAGACTAGGCGGACATTAGATTTTTACATATAGTAAAATGGGTTTCTTCAGTAAGATAGGAAACTTCTTTCGAAATGTTGGAAAGAGGTATATGGAATGGAATAAAAACCGTAGGAAGAGGAATTTGGAACGGTGTCAAAAATATTGGTAAAAGGGTAGGTCAGTTTGTTGGTATTATACCTAAAGACCCTGAACCAGAAGAGCAAGCTCCTGTTATACAACAGCCTGAACCTGCACCACAGTCTAGTTGGCAACCAAATCCAACACCTCAACCGTATTAAAAAATTATATTTTTACCGTTCGATAGTAGTTGTATATGAAACTAAGTTCTAAGTAAAAACGCATGGTATAATGGAATTATTCTTTTTCTTCCATCTGTAGTAAACCATACTTGAAAGTCTGAAATACTTCCACTTGGTGGTTCGTATAACTTTGTAGGTTTTTCGTAAAAGTCATTCATCAGACATAAGAAAGAGTTTTGCGCACCAGAAAATGAAGCATGAACAATAATAGCATCTGGGTCGAAAATATTTTCATATGTTCCATTAGGGTTTTCGACTTCATAAAAGTCTGGGTGTACTGGATATGCTGCAGGCTGATTTAACATCCTCATAAATCTATACCATGCCAAGTTGTTATATTTTGTAGAAATATAAACGTTTTCTCCAAGGTCTTCTATTCTATTGATTTTAACAGTTGCATTTTTCCTGTCATAAATAATATCGAGATGGTATTCTCCTTCATCAATGTTATACTGTTTTGCATATTCGATATAGATATCGTTTATTTTTTCTTGAAAAGCTTGAAGAGTTGTTTCTAAGTTTACAAGCAAACTAACTTGTAAAAGTTTTCCCTGTTCAAATTTCTCATACATACGTTTTTCTTTGTTATAGTATCGAACTTCAAAACGACCGTAAATGGAAACCATGTATGGCTTCTGAAATGAACTTCATTCTACGAAAGCCAATAGCTTTTGTGACAGATGGGTCTCTTAACCATCTTAATGGGTAGTCAAAACGATAGCCTTCATGCTTTACGGTATCTGTCTCAAACTTTTGACCGACATTAGTAAAAAGTTCATCTAATGGTTTAGTTGTAGCAACTCTTGAATTTTCTTTTTCTATTGAAAGCATATTTTATCTAGAATAAAAATGTCGAAAGATATTGCTTCCATGAGAGAAATACAACACAACCGACAACTCATTATGCAAGCTCTAAATAAGAACACAACAAACTTTTCAAACTATTCTAAGATATCTGAGTCATTGAAAGAAGGAAACTTAAAACTGACATTAAACCCAATGACAGATGAGTTTCTGTTTCAAGACAATAAGAACCATACTGTCTGTATAAATCCAACAAAAGGAACTTTAAACGAGAAACCTATAAATGAACTTCTTTTGAAAGCAGATGTTGACAACAAAGCTGACAAAGAATATGTAGACGATGCAATAGCAAAAGAAGAAGAAAAAGCTAACAATGCTTATGCAACAAAAGAACATACTCATCCTGAACTAGCAGACAAAACATATGTTGACAATAAAATGTCAAGTGAAGTGACAAGAGCTGAAAACGAATATTCTAAAAAGACTCATACACATTCTATATCTGAAATAACAGACTTACAAGAAACCTTAAACAGGAAAAGTGCCGTTGGACATAGACATTCTATATCTGAAATAACAGACTTACAAGAAACCTTAAACAGTAAAAGTGCCGTTGGACATACACATACCATTGCAAATATTACAAACTTACAAGAAACCTTAAACAGGAAAAGTGCCGTTGGACATAGACATTCTATATCTGAAATAACAGACTTAAACGTTAGCCTTGAAAAGAAAGCGGATGAGGAATATGTGGCTAGTAAGTTAGAGAAGAAAGCGGATAAGGAATATGTGGATGAAAAAGATAATGAAATTATAGAAAGGGCTGAATGGTATCATGAATGGACATCGAAGATTTTAAAAACTAAAGCTGATACAGGATGGGTTTCAGGATGTTTAGACCTTAAAGCAGATAAAACTTATGTTAACGATGAGTTAGAGAAGAAAGCAAATAAGACTCATACACATACAAGTTTTACAACTGTTGCTATAGAAAGTATTGAAGGAACGGTTGAAGAAACTGGTGGGGATGCATTATATTGTAAACCTCCTAACTTTCCACAAGGTTTAACATCGGATGACGACATAACGACGATGAGAAACATTAGATGTAAAGATGTTTATGTCATGAAGGATGAACATAATATTAAATTCACTGCTCAAGATTTATATGACAAGAAAGCAGACAAAACAGAGCTTCAAACATTAAAGACAGAAATGCTTCAAACATTATATCCTATAGGCTCTATTTATACGTCAATGAACTCTACCAGACCAGAAGTAGTACTTGGTTTTGGAACTTGGACTCAAATAGTCGACAGGTTTTTGTATTGTGCAAACTCTTCAAAGGAAACAGGTGGAAGTAAAACGATTTCAGGTGAAAATTTACCTGCACATAGTCACTACATAGATTTAAGTACATCTCAAGCAGGTTGGCATAAGCATAGATATTGGGATTGGTCAGCAATGACAAAAGGTAAAGGATATGATGTTAAAGACAACGTTAAGTTTGCTATAAATTGTTTCTGGAGTAACACTGAGGGAGGAGGAAACCATACACATCGCGTTTCAGGATATACGCAAACAACGGGACAAAGTAAAGACTACATGCCACCTTACATGACAGTTTACGCATGGTATAGAAATGCTTAGTCGTCATTTTCAACTTCTTTAGCATATTCGTCAGGAGTTGTCTTATATTTGTTAGGAACTGTCTTTGAAAGTATACCACCTTGAACTTTGACAAGTTTGAAACGAGGTCTGACAATAGTAGTTTTATCTTCTGCTTGCAGTCTGTACATTTTGCCATGTTTGCCTAAAACTTCATAATATTCTCTTGTATACTTTCTTCTATTTTTACGAACACGAATGTGAGTACCTGTCGGGTTCCCATTGTTGTCATAGTCAATAGTATTTTCATATGGGTCGCGTTTAGGTATTTCTATTTTTACTTTGTCACCTTTCTGAAGTTTGAAGCCCGGCATTCTTTCTTGTTTGTCTCTTTTGACTAAATTATTAAATATATAGTCTTTCTCTAAGTCAGGGTTGTTTTTCATTTCTTCGGGGGAGTGGTTTCCCAAACCTTTTTGTTTACGGCTATTGTAAATATTTAAAACTTGTCTCATCTTTGCCATGGAGAAGTGTCTATATTTGTCGTCATATGACATTTCATTTGCTTCACCACCTTGTGGTGGTTTAAGTCTCTTAACATTTTTATACAACCGTCAATGACACCAAGAGCAGAATGGTTTTGGTCGACAATGAAATATTGGTTTTACATTTTTGAACGCAGATAGTTTTTTTACATCATCTGATTTGAAAGAACTTTCACAGTCAGATGTCAGTTTTGTGGATGGTATTTGTCAACGAATATTGTCAAAGCAGTTTTCACATCTAAAATATTTTTGGACCATAATGGTATGGCTTCACAGTATCTTGTGTTTTGACCGACAAATATTAGCCAGTATGGTGGTCCATCTGTTCTAACTCTCGGAATGTTTTCCAAGATATCCATAAACCAAGCATTTGGTGTTGAACTAAAGATTTTTATCATGAGTGCTTTCTTTGTCGCTTTAGAAACATAGGGGTCCTTGTTTGGATTCGTCATTTTTTTATCCTATAAGAAATGGGTTTATTTGGCGCATTAGCAGGAGTTGCATCCAGATTTTTGCCCGCAGTGGGAACAATAGCCAGAGGTGTATTTGGAGTTGGAAGGAAGATTTTGAGTACATTAGGTATTACTTAAAGAGAAAGCACAACCTATTATACAAACTGTACAGAAAGGTTGGGATGTAGCACGAGATGCAACAAATCTTATTCCAAATCCTGAAACAAGAGGAAAAGTTCAAGGATGGATGGACAATGTAGGAAGACAAGCAGGAAACTATTATAACAAAGCAAATGACTACTATAACCAAGCAGGACACTATATGGACCAAGGTGAAAGATTCTTTAACAGAGGATATAACCATGCACAACAGTGGGTAAACAATAACCAACCTCAACCGCCTCAAACGTGGGGAATGTAAAGTTTTTTACTGAGATGAAATGAACATACAGCATTGAGACAAATGGGTTCAAGATGGATTTGTCGGCTTCCAGCAGTTACACAACGTGTTTGTCAAGTTCTTCCTATACCTCAGGAAGTTTTAGACCGACTTAAAAAACAACAACAACCAGTTGAAAACAAACCAAACTAAAATTTTTTACTGAGATGAAATGACCGAAGAAGTTGAAACGGTAGATTTGACACCACAAACAAAAAGTTCAGAACCATTGTCAAAACCTGTCAAAGAACTTACAGATGAAGAGAAAAATTCAATAATAGAAAGTGCCAGGTCTGGAAATACAAACCCTAACTACAAAGTCACTTTTCATAGAAATGGAACGGCAAGTATCTCAAAAAAGAAACAGACTCTCACAAATAAAATATTGAAGTCTGAAGGAGCTTTCGAGACAACAGATGGAAAAGTTTACTTCACTGACCAACAGTTCATTATAGAACATCTCATTGACTTAGAGTCGAAATATTCTAAACTTTACAACAAACACAAAAAGTTGAAAGGAAAACAAAAACAAATGGCATATGATATTTATGAAGATGTTGACGACACAACTGTTCCTGCAAGTGAAGTAAAGTCAGAGGAACCGAAAGGTGACGAAAAACCGATAGAAGAAGAAAAACCAAAAACTGAAGATAAACCAAAACCAAAGTTTAGTTTGGAAACTAAACCAAGTCAACCTTCATTAGCTGGTATGGGTTGGCGTCAAAGACTTATGGCAGCAGGCGGTTATGTAAAGTAAAGAAAAAAATATTTTTTTATTTTTATAAAAATGCCCCATATAGAATGGATAGAAAGTCTGCTAGAATAAAAGCAGAGTTACAAAGATATGGTTGGAGAGTTTCGAAGAATTTTAAATATAGGAAGGGAAGACCCATAAAAGTCTATGACAAATTGTCTGGTCTTCGCTACGAAATGGATTTGGAAACAGCACGTGCAAATTATCCAAACAGACTAGAGAGGTTAGAAGAAGAACGTCTTATGGACATGCCTTTCGATGTTAGTGAACCTCAAGTTGAAGGACACGACGGCTTTGCCAGATTCTACTGGAAACATGACGAACAATTGCATCCTTTGAGAAGGAAAAAAGGTAGTGCAGAGGATGGTCATGCTCCCATGGAAAGAACAAGATATGCATATGAGAAGTACCGTGAAGTTAGAAGTCAAATTACATCTGGTCGAACCTTTACAGTAAACTTTGACGAAGGAAAGAACAAAGAAGGCTTCATGGGTGTACTTGCTGCAATTCAAGATGGAAATAAGAAAGGATACAATCTCAGATTGACCATAACAGATTTGGATGGTCACATTTACTATGCACATGGCAATGTCACAACAGCTGCAATGCTTCTTGACGCTTTCAAGACTACAAAGAGAGAACAAATGGTTGACTCCGACTCAGACATTTTGAATGCAATTGAAGGAATTGCAAGTGTCAAGTTCGAATGGTACCAACCTAACCCTCAAGCAGTCAGACAACATGCTGGATACTTCCCCTTCATAAATAAGTCTGACATTGACTTGACAAGGTATGGAATTTACAATTCAATTGAAACAATTGTCAATGAACCTTGCATTCTTACATGTCTCAGGAACTCTGGTCTTGTTACAGATGAGAAGATGAAGTATCTTGAGTCATGTGTGAAGACAAGGTACATTCTCAGAGGTCAATTGGCAAAAATTGCACCGTTGGCAAATGTCAATATCCGAGTCAGCATACCTACAGCTAAAGGTTCTTCACATGACGACTATGTTGTTGACAAAGACTTACCATGGTTGAAGATTGTAATTGTCCACAACCACTTCATGTTGAACGAAAGTCTTACAAACCCATTGTTCGGAAAAGGCAAGTGCAACATTGTCAGAGCTGTAAACATTCTTTTCGAGAAAGGTTTGTTTGGAACCAATTCCAGATGACAAGCTGACAGAAACTTTTGTACCAAAAGACGAAACAAACTTTCATTGTTAGCAAGACCAAAAGTTGTTCCAGACAAAGTTCTAGTACAAAGAAGTACACAATTCCACAAGGAGTTGGATTGTTCGGATACCAACCTGAACCAGAAGAACTTCCAATGAGGTTGCAAGAACTTCAAGATGCTATAAACAAACTTCATTGAGACATCCAATTGACGTCAAATTGTATTGGAGAGCATCTGAGTTAGGTCAGAAGGTTTTATATGAAACAGGTTGCTTCGACGATGTTTATGAGAAACAGGAGAAGTTTCTCAGAAGATAAGAGACTCACTTGAATTTCCACAAACTGGACCAATTGGTTGCGACAAGTTCGACTCAGATGAAAAGATATACTATGTCGACCTTAACGCTGCATACATGAGGTTTGTCCAATATATTCCGACTGGAATTCCAAACGAAGATGGTGAGTTCCCGGGAAGGAACTATACAGTTGGAAAAGTCATACAACAACTGTATGATATTAGGAAAGCTTCAAACCCCAAACTTGCAATGACACTCAAATTGCTTATGAATTCGACATGGGGATATTCCATTAAGAAACCTCAAGAGATGAAGAGTAAACATTATGAGAAGGTCGACAACTTTGTTGAAAGGTTTTCTCCTTTTGTTTTGAAGTACGAATTCACTCAAGGTCAAAGTGGCTTAGTAACCACATTAAAACCTATTGTCGAACATTGGTCTTACCCTCAGTTCGCAAAAGCAGTCCTTGACAACTACAACAAATTCTTCTCCGAAGTCAAATCGAAAGTTGTGGTTTACTATGAGAACATTGACGCACTCATGACGAACGAAGAAGGCTATAACAAACTCATTGAAATGGGCATGGTCGGTGAAAAGATGGGCTGTTTTAAGCTAGATAAGGTATTTTCCGAAGTTCATGTAATATCGAAAAGGAAATATTGGGGTATACTTGAAGACGGCACAGAAATAAAACATTGCATGAAATAAAAAAATTTATTTTTAAAAAAGTGACATTTTTTATTTTATTTGAAATGTACGCTGAGTTTGTTGGAGAAGACCGTTGGGAAACTTGTTTGTTAGATGAGAAATATGAAATGGCATACCATTTTAAAACAATATATTTTTACATATATTAAATGCTTCAGGTTGAAAAACAAAGAACAAAAGTAGCAGATACAAAACCGTTAGACTATATCTTTACAAATGCTGGTAGGACTATTTCAGATGAAGAAATTTCATCCCGAGTATACAGGTTTGACTATCCAATTCGTTGGCTTCAAAGTCCTTCAGATGCAAAGGCAATAGGATTTAGAAGAGTTTTGTTTTCAAATAGAACTAACGCATTATGTTCGCAGTATATTTTCATGGCAGTATAAAGGTTCTGATGGTCTAATAGACAAATTTGACGAAATGAGAATCTTTAGCAGTTCGTTCAGACGAAAGTCTTGAGAAAACTCTAAATGACTTTCAAACTCAAATGAACAAATATTATTGGGAATTTCAAGAAAAATACGACTCTTTACTAAATGGAACATACTATCTGAAACTAGAATATGACAAGATGAACTCCACCGTTTCATTTCAAAAGATTGAAATTAACCCTCCAAGAGATACAGAGTTTTTATTTTGGAAAGTAGACAAACGTTCTTGGGCACAATTTCTTCGGTTACTAAACCAGAACGAACCATTACCACCAGATGGTCCATTTAAATTTATACTTCCACCAGCAGATTTGACAGTTTATAGAAACGTGTTTGACCCTCAAAATGTTATGTGTCATGCAAGTTTCAGTTCAAGCAACAATAGTTTTCTATGTATTGGTAAGGACTTTTATGACTTTGCTTCTAAATTCTACGAACCACCTAGTAACAGTTTCTCTGACTTTCAAGTTTGGTTCACAACAAATGGTGTGCAACATATTATTCCATTGTACTATGACTTTTATCTCGAATTGTCTTTCATATATAACTACGGAAAAGTGCTGAAAAAGTATTGAATGTGAAGATATTAGAAAATAACATTTTTTCTAACATCGTAGAAAACTCATGAAAACAATTTATTTTTGACACTTTCACAAAAAACATAAAAAAGTGCAGTTAAACGTTAAGGTTTACTGAACTGGTTGGATGTCGCCTTCACAGGTTATGTAAACGGTTGTCCTGAGAAGTGGAACAGTGCTCTGAGAATTTGTATAATTCGTGGAATTGGACTCTCTCTGTTTGGAAGTAGTATCCAAGGACGCTTGGCAAAGAACTTTATAATGGCTTCCTTCTTTGCTTGCTTTATGTCGTCGTAGGCTGTCCCGTCTGGTATTTGAATTGGAATTTCAGTCGAAGTCTCGAGATTCAAGACAGCCCTTCCAGAAATAGTGGTGAACTTGACCTTGGGCTTCATGACCTTGCGCAAGTAGTCTTTTACGCAGTCGTTTATTTAAATTAGGTAAACTGCCTCGTCAAATCCTTCTGGCATTCCGAGTCCTTCCATCCGACAGGAAAATATTTTCCCGACAACTGGAAAAAATTTTCCTTCCGACAGAAAAATTTTTCCTTCCGACAGGAAGAACTCTTCCAGTTGTCCGTCCGTAAACATTCAAATTTTCGAAAATTGAGAACTTTTTGGTCGAACTTCAGAAAAAGTTTTTCCTTCCAACAGGAAAAAATTTTCCTTCCGACAGGAAAAAAATTTCCTTCCGACAGGAAAAGTTCTTCCTTCCGACAGGAAAAGTTCTTCCTTCCGACAGGAAAAGTTCTTCCTTCCGACAGGACACAAACGAATGTCCCACGTCCCACCAACCCAGTCCATTCCCAAACCAGAGGAACCTAAAGAACCACAACAGTCTCCTCAGCAACCTCAGTTCCAGCAAGTACCTCCGAATTTCTACCAATTTCCACCTCAAGGTTACTACCCACCACAAGGCTTCCCGAACTACCCTCCTCAGCCTATGCCTTACTTCCCCAACCCTTGGATGTTCCAGCAAGCTCCACCCCAGCAATTCCAATCTCAATCCAAATCGAAGAGAGACCAAGAGTTCGAAGAAGGTCTGAACCGTTTACGCAAAGAGTATGCTACAGCTCCAATTGAGAGAAAGTTGTTCCCGGACCAAAAATATAATTTAGGTGAAGAGGTGAGATCTCACCTGTTTTCTCACCTGTTTTCTCACCTGTTTTCTCACCCTCTTGAATTTTCATGAATTTCCTTAGGATAGAAAAAATAAAGTTAGTTTTATTTTATTTATTTTGTATTTTTTTGTATGTAAAGACATGATTTCAGGGATTTTTTTGACGAAGTGTAAACCTTCACTTCGTCAAAAAATAACAGTTATCTAATGAAAAAGTGTCATTTTTCAGCAAAAATAATGTTTAGGTGAAGAGGTGAGATCTCACCTGTTTTTTCACCTCTTGAATTTTCATGAATTTTCCCGAAATAAAAAATAAAGTTAGTTTTATTTTTTATTTTTTTTTATTTTGTATAAAAGACATGATTTCAACAATCGGCACAACAACAATTCAAACAACAGCACCAAACTCGTTAGTCATGAATCCAACATCTATGTTAGTAGAGATGAAAAGCTTCATTCCTTCTTCATATACTTTTGAAACAGAAATCCAGAAGATAAAGCAAGAACTTTTAACAAGTAATTTAGACTGTAGTGCGAAAGATGAAACAAATGAACAGTATCTTTATGAAATGCAGGACCTCATCGACCATTTACCCAAATTGCCTGAAATCCAACAACAAAAACTCACTATTCCTGAATTCGATGAAATAGAAGTCAAAGCAACTGACTCAGTAGAAATAAAGAAGTTCATACGAAAGGTAAACTATGAGTTTCTAGGATTTCATTGCAACCATAAGGTTATGGACAAAGATTGCGACATGGTATATAAGAATGTTTCTGACATATATAAATCTGAAGAATTTAAGACCTACGACAACTTTGTTTCGTTAGTTGCTGAATGTGTATGGCAGATAAGAGATCAAGATAGAAGAGGTAAGGTATGGAACAAACAAATAAGACCCGCTATGTTTGAGATGAAGAGAGCAATTGACGCTTTAGTTGTTTTAGCAGGTAAGGTTTCAGAATATAACGCAAAAATGAACCCGCAATGTTCTAAATGTAAAGCAGCAATGAGGAGATATAACTACTCCGTCAAAGAGATAGAACGTATGAGAAACGACTATGCAGACTTAAAGAAAGAAGCAGAAAAACCAGCAGAAAATAAAATGGACATGTTAGAATTTCTGAACAAAAACTATCCAACAGCAGAAGATTTCCTTCTATCTGACGTCAAGAAGAAATATAAAGAAACTTTCGGTATCGTTAAAACTTTTGACATACTGACAGAAGAAATAGAAGCTACGAAACTGTTTAGGATTTCAAATATACATCGTACAATTCATGTAAAACGCTTGTGAAAAAACAGGTGAGAAAACAGGTGAGAAAACAGGTGAGATCTCACCTCTTCACCTAAACATTATTTTTGCTGAAAAATGACCAAATTTCATGAATTTCCTTAAGACAGAAAAAATAAAGTTAGTTTTATTTTTATTTATTTTTTTATTTTGTATGTAAGAACAGAAATGACAAACATTGAGTTTGAAACAGTTAAAAAGATAGACAATGACACCAAAGTGGTTAGAATAGGTGATTTAAACGTAAGATACTCAAAGAAATACAACAAATATTCTTTGTCAGACATTATATCTCCATCTGGAAAGAAACCGAAGGACTGGGTTAGAATTGCTTCTACTCAGAAAATTTTGACAAGAAATCCTGAGCTTATAATATCGGTAAGATTCTATGGAACTACAGCATATCTCATTGACAAAAGTCTTATACCAATAGTTTTGTTATGGTTAGACCCAGTTGTTGGATATAACTTCATAACATATGGTTCATTCGATACGGAATGTTGCAGTGAAGGCTTACTTTACATCGTTCAGAAACCGAAGGACTTCAACACAAAAAGATATAAGATAGGAAGAACATATAATATAACTCTAAGATATGACAGTACAGTCAATAGAGTCAAGGTTGTGTTCGTTAATGATATGAGAGCTGCTGAAACAGAACTGCTTGAAGTTTTTGAGAAAATGTATGGTGCTCCCATAAAAGGTAAAGAAACGTTTGAAGTAGATGAGATAGATAAAGCTATAAAATTATTTGACGAAGTTGCTGAAAAATACATGTAAAGCGTTTATTTTTGGTCTTTTGTGAAAGATAGAAAAAATAACGCTAATTTTTTATAAAATTTGACGAAGTGCAAATCTTCACTTCGTGTCATAATGTAAAAATAACGCTAATTTTTGACGAAGTGCAAATCTTCACTTCGTGTCATAATGTAAAAATAACGCTAATTTTTGACGAAGTGCAAATCTTCACTTCGTGTCATAATGTAAAAATAACGCTAATTTTTGACGAAGTGCAAATCTTCACTTCGTGTCATAATGTAAAAATAACGCTTACCATGTAAAACGGTTGTGAAAAAAAAAGAGGTGAAAAATTAGGTGAGAAAACAGGTGAGATCTCACCTCTTCACCTAAACATTATTTTTGCTGAAAAATGACCAAATTTCATGAATTTCCTCATATGCTTGCTTCCCTCGGAAAACCGAGAGAAGAGATTCCGTATGAAAACAGTGAAGAACAGTGAGTACGTAAAAAAACGTAGTCGCCAAAACTCTATGAAAACAGTGAAGAACAGCGAGACCGACTTTTTTCTGGGTCGCCAAAACTCTATGAAAATCATGAAAAATAACAGAGTATTTTGACAACTTCAAACAAGTAGGGTAGATGATACTTTTTCTATTAAACCGTTTTGACATTTCTCATGAGTGAGTATAGTTCTGCCGAACCATTGGAAGAGAAGAAGTACCCTTGCTGGCAAAAGACAAAAATAGTTGCCTTAGTTGTCATTGCAATTGTACTCGTAATTGAATTCATTGTACTTCTCTTCACGTACATAAAACTCAAGGACGGCATATGCTTTAAGAAGCTACCATCTTACTAAGACTAAACACTTACATTTTTCAAGCTTGACTTTTTACAATTTGAACTTTGTTTGCGTAGATATGAATTCTGAAAGAAGTATGAGGGTCTTGTATGACTTTGTACTTCTCCCATAGTTCATGTCTGTCAAACTTACCTGCCATGGACTCTTTCATAAGTTCCATGAAATCGTCTTCGGACAATCCGGGGAAAAGTACAATGTCAGTAAGTATTCTTTTACATCCTTACTTAAACTCTTTGCTGTCTGTACACAAATGACAACTGAGATGTTAAAGTGTCTGAGCTTCTTAAGAATTCGACACATATCTTGTTCTCTGTTCTTTAACAAAGGATGAGAAGCAAAGTCATCTAAGATAAGAAGACATCTATGAGGGTAAGTCTTCCAATCGTAAGATTGCAATTTCTTCGAAATGTATTCTATCTCTTTCTGTTTGTTTCTGAAGTGTTTCTTCTCTAATATTCTCTGCATTTCCTCATGGGTCTTTAAACTTAGAATTTATATACTCATTTATAGCATTATACTTCAAAACTCTTCTTTGGTACTTCTTTATCCAATCTAACAACTCAGTATCCTTTATACATACTAACTTAGACTTCTTTATAATATCTTTGAACGAATTGACGGTTTGGTCAAATTGACCAGAAGTACTACAAATAACAACTAACTCATAGAATGGGTTCTTCTCATCTAGTTCTTGTTGTTGTGCAGCCATTTTAAGATAAGTGAAAGTCTTACCCGACCCAGGTGGTGCAATTAGACCTGTTATACCATTCTGAGCAAATAAGAACTTGTCATGTATAGGTTTTATCTGAGCATTTTCTAACTTCCTCTTGTTCTTGTTTAAAACATTCTCAAATTTCTTGTCAATGTCAGCAAACTTTTTTTCTAACATATTTTTAGAAAAATTAAAATTTTTATCTTTTAGAAAATGTCTAGCGATTTCGCTATCTATATTCGAGACAAGCTTTTCGACAGCAAAACATCTGTCGACCATAAAATCTTACATAGTGTAAACAAGAAAGGTGAATTTGTTCTAAAGTTCTGTTTCTGGGAATATGACAAGAACCATAAAACATTAAGCAGAGAAGTCTTAAAATTTGTCAATGACAGACTTGTTGACAGAGATGACGCCTCTTGGAAGATGAAGTCCAACAAAACTTCTTAGAATGCAAAGAAGACACATGCGCTGTTCTTGAAGATGAAATAGAAAACAGAATAGAAGAGCTATTAAAGGACAAAGAACTTTTACATAAATATAGTTGCGAAATTTGACATAACTCCACCAGAAAAGAAGAAGAAAGAAAAGAAAGAAAAGAAAGTAGAAGAAGAGAAGAAAGAACCTGAACCAGTTCCAGAGAAAAAGAAATTTGACATGTAAAAATAAAATTTTATTTTTAGAACATTTCTGGGTCAATGTCAATGTTCTCTTCCTCTTTAGGAGCAAACACTGGCTTAGACTCTAAAATCTTTTTACCCAATTTACCTTGAACTTCTACAACTTTAGACTCATAATATTCATAGTCGTCTGCTTTCTTTGGTTCATAAGGTATAACAAGTTTGTATGCTTTGCCTTCTTTAAGGTTTGAAACCTTCTGTCAAAACTTTCTTTGACTGCTAACAAACCTTCTATGTCTAAGTCTTCAAATTTCGCACCATTTTTAGTCACAATAGCAAACTTAACTGGTTCGATGTTCCAAACTTTGCTGAATGAAGACTTTTCAAAATGGTAGAAGTAAACATTCAAATATGTGAATGGGTCTAGTTCTTCTTTAAGTCCTGACATGTACTTGTTTACTGAGATGAATTTTGCCATCTTTTTCTATCGGATAAAAAAATATTTTTTTTTAAAATTTACTCAAAAAATTTTTCTTTGTATATACACCATTCTGTACGTCTAAAAGACTTTTGACATTTGCCAAGAATGTTCGTTTAGACGCTGTCATATAACCATATTCTTGACAATATTGTTTATACGAATCGTACAATGACCTTTCATCTAAACACTCAAAGTCAGTTTCATCTATGAACAGTTCATATACACTCTTGTTTGCTTCTAACAATGTTTGTCTCTCTTCGGTATGTGGAATTTGTCTTGGATTGAACTTTGAAATATCTAATGTCATAAAATATGAGAACAAGTGGTTGTAAAAGTCAGATGTCAAAGTTTCTGCTAAGTCGTCAAAATATTCTGTATCTTGCATATGAGCTTCTGACGTTCTGACAACTACATATCTTCTGTCAGAACTTTCTAACTTCATCGGAACAGCATTGTTTGAAACCATAATGAAGTTTGCAACATTTTCACAAACTCTTTGGTCTTTATATTTTCTTTCAACAACTCCAACTTTGTCTGTTATAAGACTCTTCAAAGCATCTGAGTTCAAAACTTTTGTTGTATCTATACTTTGAAGTTCGTTACATACTATAAGTTTCATATTCTCTATTGAGGAGTTAAACTTGCCACAGATGTTTTCTAAGTTTGTCATATTCGGGTTCGAATAGCCCTCTAACAGTTTGCACAAAATATCTGTAAAGAAAGTATTCTTACCAGTTCCTTGTTTTCCAATTATAATGAGAGCAGTTTCATTTTTAGCACTTGGATGTTGTAAGATGTTTGCAAACCAACATAAGATATACTCATAGACTCTTTCGTTTCCATTGCATATAATTTCTTTGACATGGTCTAACCAAGCTTCTATAATATTTTCTTTCCATTCTACTTGTTCGTATTTATATCCAGTGAAGATAGAATAGAAGTTTGGAGAAGGTGTATAGAACTTTATACCTCGAACTGAAAAATCTTCTAACTTTGACAATAAGATATCCCAAGCATCTAACATCTTCATGCCAACTTGTACGACTTTTATTTTCTTAAGTTTCTGTCTACATTCTTGTTCTGAAACTATTGTTGCTTTAGGTTTGTTAAAGACTACATCCCATTCTTTCATAACATAACATTCTGGGGCAGAGTCGACATAAATGACTAAACGTTTCAAATTCTCGACTGCTTTGTTATAGTCTCTAAATGGACACATATTTCTGAATGCTTGGAAGTCATAAAAATCTGAAACATCTATTCTGTACATTTTTATAAAAATAAAAAAAATATTTTTTTTTATTCTTGACTTTGTTGTTGCATTTGTTGCATTTGTTGTTCTTGAGCTATTTGTTGTTGAAGTTGTTCTTGTAATACAATACTTTCACCAGTTGCATCTTCCAATTCGAAACTTTCTGCCGTCATTGACAAATACATAGGACATAAAAGTTTTACAGGAACAAAGTTTGCGTCAACTAATGTCAACGTTATACTTGCCAAAGTGTTTGAGTTCACTAAGGTTGAAAATTCTGCATTCGAATGAACAATAGGCAAACCAGCAGAGAAAGTATTGTTTATACGCATAAGTATCTTTTGGTCATAATAGTTTCTGTCGACATTCGAATAACACTTTGAACCTAAGTTTGAAACAATATATAAGATTGGTGTGCTTAATGTCAATGGAATAGACATTCCTTGTATGACACCTTTTCCTGTTATAGGAAACTGTTGGTAGTAAAAACCAGAAATAAGTTTTGTATTATAGCTCATATCGTTTATAGTAAACTCAGTCGGACATCCAAACATAATGAAACCTGCTCTAGTTGCAGCACATGTTACACCCGTACTTAAAGTATTAAATAAGTCAACAAAACCTGTTGGTGGTATATCTGAGTAAGTATCTTCAAAGGAGTATTTTTTACCATTCACAACAATAAAGTCTTCTGGTGTCAAAAGAGCAAAACAGGCTTTAGTCGTCATTGTGTTTAAGGTTAGTTTACAATATCGTCCTTGAGGACTTTGTAAGTTTGTTGTTATAGAATTATATGACTCAGGGTTTTTAGTCGTAATAGTATAAACCATTATATCTTCTGCCATTTACTTAGCAAATAAATTTTAATGAAATGTTGTGGTCGTCAAATATTTTTATGACGTCTGGGAAACTATACTTTAAGTTCAACGTTTCACCTCCTTTCATAACGTATATCTTGTCAATGACATTATATGAAACACCACAGCAACTAATGTCGGGTTCTATTTCTTTGATGTTTATATCGTCTGCCTCTGTCAAAAGTTTCAATAGTTCTTTCAAAACTTCATGAGGTGCAATGACATATGAGTTCACTTTTACAGGGTTGTGTTCGACCAAGTTTAACATTATACTAAAGCTTGACAAATCTTCTCCTGAGTTTGAAGTTTGTCTTTCAGTTGTTGGTAGTCGTTTCGAATATCTGCAACAGAACTTAAGTCTCTGCTAACTTCAGGATATGTTGGTTGTTCTTTTACAGGAACAATTGTTATACCATCTTCGTCTTCGTATGGTTTCCCCACTTCAACATCTCTGTCTTTGACATTGACAACAACACTTTGACTGTTTGTTTGAGTTGGTGAATTTAACTTCACATCTGCCACCGCCATTAAACCTTTTGAAACACTTACGCTTCTATTTTTCGGAAATGACATTTTACTTAGAATAAAAAGATGGACGTATTCGAGTATCTCTTCGAATTGAAGCAGAACAAAGTTTACTCACAAACAATACAAATACATTGACAGAATAGTTCTTTATACAAACAATGGAAAATGTTATAGAATAGCAGTCTTTGCTGAACCAAAATATTTTCATAAAGCAAAGAAAGTTGGTATAACTGAAATGGTGAAAGTTCTTGAGTTGACAAAAATATAACAACAAAACTTACAGATATTTCTAAAGGTAAGTTTATCTTACAATATTATGTCAAAACTGGCGTACTGTCAATATTTGACGGAGAGAAGTCAGTTCAAGAACAACTTACTGACCTGCTGCCAAAATCTGCTCGATGGAAGCTGTCGTTATGCCAATCTGAGGAGCCCCAGCAGGTTTCATCGAACGAATCTTCAAAAGAGCATCTTCCGTGAAAAGTGCTATTGGTTTTGTAAACTTCTTTGCTCTCAGTTCATCTGGACCGTCTCTGTCACCAGTATATTGTATTTGTACAGTACCAACAGTTGAAATACCACCCATAAAGTCTTCTGAGTCAGCAAATGGAATGCCAAGCCAAAAGTTTGAACGGTCTCCATTTGTATATTGAGTTTTTTGACCTCCTGTATGAGTCCATACTTTCACATATGGCATAATAGAACTTTGCATTTCAGGGTTAATGGTTGTTGTGAAGTTGTTGTTAAAGTTCATAGCATCTAATGTCAAGTTGTATGACCTCATATCCTCAACTGTAGAATATTCTTCTCTTGGATAATATTTGCCATCTATGTTTATATGATATTTAATACCGGGGTTGTAGAAACAAGAATAGTCATTTATAGTTCGTCTGAACAGTACAAACATAGTATCTGCATGTTTCATTGCAGTTGTTAAAGCAATATCTGTTCTTGCACCTGGGTCAGCACTTTGGTTTCCAACTTCACCTGCAAAGTCTTTGACAGATATTTGGTGTATAGGGAACATAAGTGGAACTGCAATATATTTGGCAGCTAAAGCATTTGAAATATCTGGGTCCAACATATAGACTGCAAGTCTGCTTTCTATTCTCTTGCATTCAAACTTTTCGCATGTGAACTTAACTGGGTCCCAAGCAGTTCCAGCAGCATTGAAATAATAGTTTACTTCATTGTTGAAGTTTGAGAAACCAAAGTCTAAGTCAACTTTGTCTTTGCAAAATTCGGCGAATGACGTTTGATTTGTTCCCTTTACGTCTGTAATGCTGAATGGGTCTTGTGTTGGTGCAATGACTAAGTTATTTTTGCTTGGAGTAAGTTCGATAGAAATTTTTCCTGCCCAGTTTGGCAAGTATCTTAAAAACCTGAAGATGAGGAAAGATGACAAAGGAACTCTAAGTTTCAGTTTTATTTGGTTACTGCTGCTGCAGTTTGTCCAGAAAGGTTAACATAAACTCCTGGAACGTTAGGGTCAAGTCTTCTTATTTTCTCATATTGCATACTGGTCTGTTTGTTCTCTAGCTTGTGGTTGTACTGAGTTTCTCAAAGCGAACCATTCATAGTTTGCCCATGTTACTGTTTGAACTAAGTCAGAGTTAGAATATATCTTATATCCCATGAAAACTTCTGGAGCATATTGGTATCCGACATAGAAAATTCCATTGCAACCTTTCTTTCTTGTCAGACAACAGAAGGTTTTATTTCAATGTCTTGTTCCACGTATAAGAATGAGTTGTCAATAGAAATAATATGAAACCTGTCGCAAGCAATATCTACTGTTGTTGAAGAACCTTCTCCAAACTCACCTACGTTTCCATAAGAAACAGCAGTTGTATATTCGTAAGTTCCAGGAACTATTTCTGACCTTCTAATGGCATTGTCGCATTCGTTATACCATTCGGAAACATTTCCGTTCATGGCATCCAAAACTGTTGGCGTTATATTCTGAGCGGCGTACATTTCATATGGGTAAAAATATAGAATAGTTGGATTTATGTGTCATAATAGAACCCACTCGACCAAGCTTTACTTTCTTCCTGACTGAGTTTTTAACTCTTCTTTTTCCTTCATTGCCACTACTTTCACTAGATGAAGTTACTTCTTCACTACTTTCACTTTGTTCTACTCTTCTTCTTCTTTGGTGTCGCTTTTGGTAACTTGCCCTCTGCTTCAAGTTGTTGCATCTTTGCCTCATGTTCACCTAGTATGTTGTAAATTTCCCATGTCCTTTTTGCCTTTGGGCTCTGGTCGCCCATCTCAGGTAACCTATATCCTAGAAAGATTTTGTCATAGTTTGTATTTGAGTCTTCGCGTATTGTTTGCATGACTCTTTCCTGAGTTTCCGGTTCAAGCTCTTCAAACAGAGCTTGTCCATATGGAATAAGCTCGTTTCCAAATATATGTTTTTGTAGCCATTCTGGTTTTCTTTCCATGTTACCAATAATATCTTTTGTGAATGGGAAAGCTTTTACCCAATGTTTCAGTCTTGCGTCATTTATTTCTGTAGTTGGTTTTATTTTGTCAAGGAACATGTTTTTCAATACTAACATTTCATTTGGTACTGTCCATTTGAGTTTTCTTAAATATTCATCCCTTCTCAGTTCATTGTCTGCAAAGTAAGTTTTTATGACATTTTGTAAACTTTCGTTTGCAAGGTCATGTACAATAGGTTCTCTTCCTTCTATCTCCCTAACTTTCTTTCTAAACTCTTCACCAAATATACCATCTCTATGGTTCTGTGTAGTTCTTTGAGATAAATGTTCTAGAACGTCAGGTGTTATATTTCCATCAGCCATGTTCATTTCATACTGGTCCAAAATATCTGCATGTTTCATATCTTTCAATGGCATTAAAGCCGCGCTGAAAATACCAGCTATATCTGGTTCACCATTCACTTCCATTGCGTCTACAACTTCTTGGAATTGTGGTTGTAAGTTTATGAACCACCTATCCGGATTAGCTTTATGACCCCATCTCATTGTAGTTCCATAGTCTGCAGAAACAAAAGTAGGTTTGTTTCCATATTGGTTAGGTTCTGAATGAACTTTAAACAATGTTTCATTTCTATATGTTTTGTGAAATTTAACCTTTTATTTTCACCGAGTTCAGCCAAAGATTGAACGTTATATGGTCGTAAGTAAAAAGGATTGTTGTATTTGCGTACACTTTCTTTCAGTTCTTCCATTCTATGCTGAATATTTTCATCTGATGTTGGAGTCTTTTGTATGTCGGCGAACATTTTTCGATATTCTTCTACTATGTCAGCTGAATTTTTCTTAGACTCTTGGAAAGATTCCATATTCTCCGCATACTCTTGTTGAGGGTCAAGATTTTTCGGCTGTTCCAAATCTTCATCTAGTTCTGTGAAGTTAGTTTCCAAAGGAGGGATTTGTTCGTTTCCTTCAGGCTCTTCTAGCTGTTGTTGCTGAACTATTTCTTCCATGTCTGGTTGTATCTGAACTTCTTCCTGTGGAGTTTCTTGTACCTCATCTGCTGGCATTCATATATTCCGAGACCGTTTTTACAAGTTCCCTATTTAAGCCATCCGCATTCATAACCCTTTCTTCTTTCGTTCCGTCTCTATTTTTTACGCGTTTCATGAAGATAGTTGAATTATCATTTATCTCTGACACCAAATATCTCGGAGTAAATTCATCCATGTCATTTGGATGATATGCTATTAAATCATATCCCTTAGCGAGCTTGTATTTTCCAGGTTTGAAATTATATCCCATTTGGTGCTGAACCATAAAGCTAAATAGGTTCGGGTCAGTATTTCCTTCCTTGAACTTTCTAATAGCTTCTTTATATCTGTCACTAAAGTCAAGAGTATCTGGGTAACCATAATTTTCCTTAAGCATTTTTAAGAATTCTTGGTTTCCTTGTTCTCTACTTCTTTTATGTCCTTGCTCTGTTTGTGGTTGTGGTGCTGGATTTTGAACTGTTGGTTGTGGTGCTGGATTTTGAACTGTTGGTTGTGGTGCAGTGTTTTGAACTGTTGGTTGTGGTGCAGTGTTTTGAACTGTTGGTTGTTGTGTTGGTTTTGGTGCATGCCTGTGTCTGTGTCCATGTGACGATGTAAATGTTTTAGGTAGTCCTGGTGCAGGTGCTTCTCTTGGAGGGTTTGGTGGTATATAAGTTCCACCAGCTGGCACATATGTTCCATCTGCAGCATAATGTCCTACCTGACTTTTCGTTTTTAAGAAAGCATTTACTAGGTCTGTTTTGGTCTGTTGTAACTCTTTTTCTTGACTTTCCACAACAGTTGCTCTCACGGCGTCATAGGCACTTTGAACTGCCTGTCTCGTTGCTGCATCTGTTATTTTCGTCATATTTTGTGCTACTTCTCTTAACTCGTTGTCGAAACCTTCAGACTTCAGTTTCTTTCCAGATGAGAAGTCGTTCACTAGTTTCACCTTACTATGAAGAGCTTCGAAGGCGTTCTTAAAGTCAGCATTCATTAAAGCTTCATTTGAACTGTCTTCATCCGCTTGTATTTTTGTCCTTATTGACCCTATAAGTTGGGCTGCTTTGGCGTTGGCTTGGGCATCTAACCAGTCATTATTAGCTTTTATATATTCTGCGCTTTTCATTGCCTTTTGCATGGCTGCGTCGTTATTTTTACTTTCTTGTGCTAAGTTTTCATACTGTACGGTTTGGTTTTGCAACTGTAAAAGTTTTTCTGCCTTTACATTTGCTTCAACTTCTTTTTTATACTCATCGCTATCCATATATGTCTTCAGGGCTTTTTGTTTTATTTCTTCATCTTTCAGTACTTTATATTGAGTAGTATGGTTTTTCAAATTTATAACATCTTGTTCCATTTTTGCTACTTCTGCTGCTTTTTCTGACACTTTTTTCGCATATTCCTCTGTACTTAGTTCTTTCAGTTGTTATTCTTTCTTCTTTTTCTCTACGTTTAACTCATTGAGTTTCTTTGTGTGTCTGTCATATTCTAGTTTCTTTTCGTTTTCACTTATTTGTTTCTGTATGTCTATGTTTGACTTTTTGACATCTGTTATTTGATTTTTGAGTGAACTCAAATTCATTTGACTTTGAGGGTTATAAGCTGTTCCGTCTGCAGCTCCACCATAGCCTGCCATTTTCGCTAAAAGTGCCGCTCTTAAACCTCCACTCTGTGCACCAATAACTCGGTTTAAAAGCATAGGGTTGCTTGACATTTGTTGCAACATAGTGGGGTCATTCATCATTGTTGTTGCAACTGTTGTTGTGGTGTCAGTTTTACTATTGGATGTTTCAATGCTCCCTTCCTCTTACGTATATTCTTACGTAGCTTACGTGGCATTTTAAGTGAAGTTAAAAAGCGGTTTTTGACAGATGTTTATATGACACTTTTTGTTCAGCACAAAAAACTACTCGGTCAAAGTGTTGTCAGTTTTGTAAAATAACCGTCCGATCTCATTCTATAAGGGGAAAAGGCTTCTCAAAGTTTACTTCCTTGGAACGCCTGTAACTTTTCCTGTAGCGATGATAGACCCTTACTTGTCCGGACAAAGTTATACTATTTTGAGTGCTCTACAAAAAAGTCAACGGCGACGACTCTCAAAAACAGTTGTGTAAAAAGTTTTACCGTTGGACAAAAAAGTATATATAGAAAACAAAAAACGTTTATAGTTCATTCAATATTTGAGATGGAACGGTTTGCCAACGGTAACTATTAAATAAAATAAAAAAATAGAGGGGGTCTCCGTTGGTAAAAACCGTTTATTTTAAACTTTTCTATGAGTAGTCCGAAAAAAACAGTTTATTTTTCATAATGGAAGGAAGAAAAAGTGTCGCAAACAATTCGTCGACTACCTCTGCAGTTAAAGTTCTACAACTTATGTCTCACCATTCTCAAAACCTTACAACCTCCTATAATACCAAAGCAACTTCCTCATACAATTCAAGACAATTTGTCCAACAATTTGAGTTCTTCTTCTCAAAACACAACAGATACAGTTGTCCAAACAGCACCAGAACAAGTTTCACATAGTTCTACAATTCAAGACAAATTGTCCAACAATTTGAGTTCTTCTTCTTCTCAAAACACAACAGAAACATCTGAAACAGATTTACAACCAGCACCAGAACAAGTTTCACATAGTTCTACAAGTATGTTAAAAGAGCACAATTTCAAGATTTAATTTCTCTTGAACAATATTCGAGTAACGAAACACAAACCGACGACTGTAACCTCTCGCTACCCGAATCCATTCAAAAAAATACGCCATGAAAAGACTGAAATTGTTGTATAAACTTCTTAACAATTGGGGGGTCGAAGACAACACAGATTATAGTGAAATGTTTAACAAAGTCATAGAATCTCTTAAACCAATTGAAAACGACATAAAAAATCCCGGTGTTCTTGTAGACTTTTCGCCTCAAAATTACCAGTTACAACTAATCTAATAGCAACACAAGCTATAGAGCAATTTATTTTATGTTTTCCCAAGCAATATAGACAACACCTGAGGGAAACAAGAATAGGACAATTTCAATTGGTGTATCCTACAACATACAACTATTACGAAGAAGCAAATGAATATGGAGAACTCTCGTTCCATTTCACACTTTCAGTTCCTGAGGGAGAAGAAAAAGCAATCTATCATGTACAATCTCTTGCAGGATGTGAAGGAAAACCTCACATAATAACTACTGTTGCAATTGACAAACCTGCAAGAGTCGAAGACGATGTTTTGTTCGCGTCCATTGCTGGTTTTGGCATGGGAGAACCAATTCCAATTTCCCATTTCACAGAATACTCAGCACAACATTTTCAAAATGTAGAATTCGTGTTCTACGACCATCAAAAGTTCCTGCTAACAAAACCAAAGAAACAATTTGTCTCAATATTTGTTGCTGGTCATGTGGCTGACAAAGAGCCATCAGATACTGACTATGAAGAAGAGGAGGAGGAAGAAGAAAACGATAGCGATGTCGTTCTTATCGAATAAAAACTTTAATTTCTTACTATATAATTTTTTAGTTCTCCTCTAGGTTTTTTAGGGGCTAGAAGGGGCGCAGCCCCTGGAAGCCCCACTACCTTTTTTTTTTTTTTATCTGTATCTAATTGTGATGATAGATTCACTGAAAGTGAGAGAATTTCATGTATAATTAACTGTATGATATCAAGATGGTCAATTCTTCTGCTGGTTGTTGATAATCACATAATGCTTTGTCAATTTGGAATATTGAAAATGTAATTGAATTTCTAAATAATTGATATTTTGAATTCTAAATGCTTTTTTCGATTGTGTGATCCAACTGCATGCCTATTTGACTAAAAGATTAATCAAGACAGATGACAACCAACACTTTGAATCAACAAAAGTGACAAAAATGACTCAAACAATCACTTTCGTTACAGGAAACAAAAACAAGCTTCGCGAAGCTCAAGAAATCCTTGGAGTCAAGCTTGTCAACTTAGAAATCGACATTCCAGAACTCCAATTGTTTACATCTGAAGAAGTCGCATTATACAAGGCAAAAGAAGCCGCTAAAATTGTTGGTGGACCAGTTATTGTCGATGATACAGCCCTCCACTTCAATGCTATTGCTGGATTGCCAGGCGCTTACATTCGCGCTTTTGTAACACGTCTTCGCCCATTCGAAATCGCTAGACTCCTTGACAGTTACGAAGATAAGTCAGCCTACGTCACCTGCAGCATTGGGTTCTGCGCAGGACCAAATGATGAAGTTAAAGTTATTACTGGTCGTGTCAATGGCAAAATTGTCCATCCACGCGGAGAAGGTGGCTTTGGATTCGATCCAATTTTCCAACCAGATGGTTACGATAAGACTTACGCAGAGCTTTCTGAAGAAGATAAGAATAATTGCTCCCACAGAGGAAATGCTCTTCGCCAATTTAAGGAATCCGGAATTCTTAATAAGTACTCACTTTAAATCTGGTTTTCAGTGTTTGGATATCGGATTTAATTTATTTACTACGTCCATGCAGTTATGAATAAATAGAACAGCATTTTTATAACCTCTATTGATATTTTTTCATACTCAAAAGCTATTCTTATTACCAATAAGAATACATTTTAAAAAAAGTTTTAAAAATTTCAATAAAATGCTTTGAAATAAAACTTACATGATTTTAATTGAGATAAAAAACAGAAGAAAGATTGTCATTTTCAAGATTATGAATGAGATTTCTTAATTTGTCTGACCATTTGCAAATTAAATTAGTTTTCATGCTATCATCAACACTAAGCCATTTCATTAGCTCATTGTTGAAAAGTACAGCAATGCTTGAGTCATATTGAGTTACATTACTGTAGCAATTGATTCTTCTTTTCTTAGCTGCTATCATTCTCTTCTTTCTAATAATTCTTGCTTGTTTCTGGCATATTTCTGCTTTCTTTGATTCGATGTCTCCTCTAAGAATTGCAACGTATTTAAATAATTCGTTTGTAACGCTTACATCATCACTTCTTGAGTAGATAACTTGTCTCCTACCTTGCATATCAGCGATTCTTCTTTCTAAAATATGTACTTGCTTTCTCATTTCTTTATTTTTGGCCAAAACTTCTTTAACTAGAACATGAAGAGTTGAAAGACGTTCAGTATGACCTTCTGGAGTTGCTTGTGATAAGTCAATAATACTATATTGTATGTTATCTGATGAATCCATGGATGAATTCGCGCTTTGAATTTGAGATTGAATTTTTTCGAATTCTTTGACCATATATTCTTTAACATTTTCATACTGAGATGTCTGGAAATTCATTGAAAAGAAATCTTTGTCAACAGCTTTTGCCAAATCTTCGATATCTTTTTCAAGATCTGTTTGTCTTAATTTCTTAGACTCAATAATACGGATATGATTTTTAAGATCATCAGCTTTGAGATTAAGGCTTTGAATTAATGCCTTTGTGCTTTCAATTTTAGATTCAGTAATTAATTTTTTGTTTTTTATCTTTGAAAGTACTTCTGCTGCTTTATGTTCTCTTTCTATGTTTTGTTGAGCAAGTTGTGAAGTTGATGTATTCAGATCTTGCGTTGATTTCTGAATTTGAGCAATAGAATTTTGATTTTGTTTTGTGTTCTCAATTATTGACTTCTTTTTCAAACTTATATTGTGCAAATCGGTATCTAATGATGAGAGTCTAAAATTCATGTTTGATAAATTCGAGTTATGATTACTTTTTTGCGCCTCAAGTAAAATTGAAGATCTTTGTTGATTTTGCGAGCGATTATACAATGTAGCTTGGTGATTTAGTGTTTCATTTCTCAATTGACGTAGCGATGACTGGATAGTTTGAATTTGATTACTTAAAATTATTTGTTTATTCTTAAATGCCGATGATTCATTTCTTGCATGTTGAATATTTGACATATAATTTTGTATATTTCCTTGTGATTGTTGAATTTGTAATTCAATTTGTGATTTTTGTTGATTTATTGTTTGAATTTCATTATTTATTAAGATATCGTCGGAATTATATGATGCTCTTGATAATGTAAATAGTGTGTTTTGTATGTTAGATGCTTTTGATTCGAATTGGTTCATGTTTCTTTCGATAGTAAAAATATTGTTTTGCAAATCATTGCAAGATCGATTTATCGAGTCTACTTTTGTTTTTGAAGTCATAAGTGAACTATTCACTTGGTTTAACCGCATTAATTCGATTTCTATTTCATGATCAAGTTTTTGATTGATTTGAGAATTTTCGTGAATAAAGTTTAACTTGGCGCTTTCGATACTATTCTTCAATTCTTGAAGTTTGTAATTGTTATCAGACAATTTCGCGATCTTAACGTTTACATCTTTAGACAATTGTTCGATCTCTAGCTGTTTAGTTTTAACCGCGGACTCACGATCGTATGTTGAATATGTTGATTCTTCAATGATGCTCGTGACAGTGTCTAGAGATTGATCAATAGCATGATCAACTATGAACATCAATAAAAAATGGATATAAATAGTCGATCTGAAACATCCTTCTATTGGATGTTTTTTGTTATATGGAACTTTTCATTTAAATCCTACTAAATAAAGGATCTTATCAATCATATTTCGAAAATGTGGGGACTGTTATCTTGTTTACTTATATACATCCTCTATCTGAACATTTTCTCACTTTTTAGGGATTTTCTCTCAAAATATACAAAAATAGTAATACCAATACATGTGTCTAATATACTTTAAAACCATCGTGATAAAATTCAAAAACGAAGAGTTCTTCTCTCCAAATTTTTTTCAAAATCAAAAAAATGAGATAAAAAAATACGTTTGGAAAATTTATTTTTAGCATTTTAGGAATTTTCTCACTTTTCTTCCAAATTGACATCCTTACTCACCACTTTCAAGTTTTTCATACATATATCTAGGGCTGTACAAGATTTAAAAAAACATTGCCGGGTTACCGTAGAGGCCTAAAAAAATCGCGCCTCGGCGGCAAGCCGCCTCGGCATTAAGAATGCGCATCTAAATTTTTATATGTCCTTCTTTCTTTTATTTTTCCCTTCCCTTTCTTTTCTTTTTCTTTTTTTCCCTCCTCTTGCTCTCATTTACCTTTTTTTCCTTTTCTCATCATTTTTCAAAATTTAAAATTTTTATCAAAAATCTTGCCTATAAAAGCAGACTATGGAACCTTTTAATGCCTCTTAATCAATATTATACAGCATAAAGCATATTAAATGATAGTAATTACGTATAAATTTATTTTATTATCTTATTTATTAATTCTTTAGCATGTATTGTTTAATATTAACTTTTCTGTACATTAAATATGATATCTCCAAAGTATGAATGCCTTGTAACGAAACGAAAACTTAATTTTATGTTGAATATTTGTCACAAACATTAGATTATTAAAATATATGTTGGATATCCCTTAGTATGAGACTTCATGACTCTTGTTGTCTAACGTGAGCTTTGGATTGCAAGCTCTGTGGTTAACGAACATAAATTAATTGTAAAGTTTTCAAAAAATTTCATCGTTTCTATCAGCATCTATTTTTCCTTTAAAATAATATAGGGTGTCCAAAGGTGCGTTTAGCACAGCGCTCTATATGAGACTATTAAAGGAGATATATGCTGATTATAAATATATAATAAAAAATATGAATATATGTATATGATGAATATGTTGTATTTTGGCGCCATGCCGGGATATAAAATGAATTTTGAGACAAGAGGCGGTTTCGCGGGAAATTTTGGCGGGATTTTTTTCATTTTTTTAATGAATCATAAAGAAAACATCCTTGCTCTTGCAAAAAAATGCAAAGACTGTAAAAAAATCTACGAGACATTGGTAAAATGCTTCGGTATGGATGCTCCTAGCTATTCCACTGTAATGTATCATGTTAGGATGTATCACTTCATGAACAAAAAGGCGCCCATCATAAAAATTGACAAAAAATCGCCGGATCAAAGAAAAATCAAAGCAATTCTTCAAGCGCTAGATGAAGACCCAAGAGCATCACTCAGAAGGATAGAGGAGATGACAAAGATACCACGTACAACAGTCAGTTATTATCTGCACAATTATTTGAACTACAAACTAGCGTATACACGTTGGGTTCCGCACAACCTTAATTCAGTTCAAAAAAAATCTAGAGTCCAATCTTCGAAAGAGCTCCTCTCTATATTGGGTGCGTATCAATCCAAGAAGTTTCGCTTTTTAGTAACAGGGGACGAGTCTTGGTTTCAATATGCAACAGAAGCCAAAATCATGTGGATCCCGAAGGATGAAAATTGACACACCAATGATTATGTTGTCGGTTTTTTGGGGCGTGAATGGCATCATCGCAATTGATATTCTTCAAAAACCTAATACGATGAATGCTCAGTATCTAATTGACAATGTTCTTACTCAAATTATCAATTCTGATGAGTTTGAGAAATCCAAACAACAAAAACAAAAGTTTGCAATTCATTTTGATAATTCAAGAGTTCACAAAAGTCATAAGGTAATGAATTACTTGGTGGAAAACAATGTCAAAGTTGTTCCAAACCCAATTTATTCACCTGATATTGCACCCTCTGACTTTTATTTATTCGGCACGCTAAAAAAGAGAGCTGAAGGACGCGAATTCGCGAGTCCAGATGATCTTGAAAATTTTGTAAGAGAGCAATTTGAGCAATTTTCTCATGATGATTTAAAGCGTGTCTTTCAAGCCTGGATCGATCGCTGCGAACGCGTGATTGAATCCAATGGTGATTATATTTAAATAAACTTTATATATATGTAACTTGTTTATTTCTATTCGCAGTATTCAGGTTTGTGCTAAACACACCTTTGGACACCCTATATATTTGTATGAATACAATATTTAGTAATTTTTTTATTTCCCATAATTTCATTCAAAATTTCAGAAAAAATTAATTTCTATTCAATATTATTTCAGCTTCAAAACACTTCATTCTTATAGATGTTGATTCACTAAAGTGTGATTCTATTTATATGAGGTAGGGGCATGAGGCTCGGCAAGTCTTATTGCTTTTTACCTCAATTTAGGTATTAAATAATTATAATGATTCATAGTGGCCGCTGCTGACTGGCCATCAGCAGTCCCCTGGCCAAGATTAATATAATTATTTAATACTTATCCAGTTTTACATCAATAACAACAAAGCTAATCAATCATCATTCAGAAATGCGGGAAATTACTACTAATATTAAAGATTGATAGACATTAGGCTGGCCACCTTCTGTCTAATATCTTTACGAATAAAAATAATACTTTTTAAAACAAATTATTTAATAAATTTTATTAAAAAACAAAATCAAATATCAAATTGATCATCATTCAACTTGATGAAGAAGCGGCATGTTACATATTCTTCTTTGCATGATTCGTTCATTGAATTTCTTGTCTTTCGCAATTCAGATATTACACGTTCTACATCTGCTTCACTGCACGAAAGTGACATCATCCTTTTTCCAATTGGTCTTATTGCTTTTAGTTGCTTTATGCCATTCATGTACCAAAACTTGCCATCATTTTGAGCAAGATGATGACCATTTATAAGATGGGAATCATCTTGCTCTATGAAGAAATCGTAAGCATCACTCAATTCCTTGGCTCTATCGTCTTTATTGATCGTTGGCTCAACTGTTGATTCGGCAATTGCTCTTTGTCTGAGGATTGTTATCATGAATGTGTATAGATCTTTTATCTCTTCATCTACAACATCCCAGACCAAGGAATTCCTCGAACCATCGGCATTTGTTTCAGCTGCATGATCGTCGTTAAGCATTTGTTCCTCTTCTGCTTGCTGGATCTCTTCATCATGCTCGGCTACCTCGTCAACACGTTCTGTTCGTTCTTCTTCAAGGATTTCGCCGAGTTTCTCAAATGTGATCTCGCGATTGATGATCCTCAGGGAAGGAATCGTTGGGACTTGCACATCTTTCAACTGCATTATAGGTGGATAGCTTGTCTTTCCTCCAAAACCCTTCTTGTCTCTGATTATCTTCCTTGCTAACGGTGTAAAGCCGAAAGCAAACCGAAGCAAATCAATTCTACCATATTCTTTCATATCATTTTTGAATATTGTAGTGATTGATCGGAGAATCTCTTCACCATCTGGCGTTAATCTTCCTGCCATTTCATCCAACATCCCTTGGCACTGTTGTATCATCAGGAATGCATAAGCACCCATGGACTTGTTGGATTCCAGCCATAATTGAAGTTGCTTTAATGGCTTGAATATCATTAATGTTTCGTACCGAAATGGCTAACAAAAAAAGTGACAGAAACCTTAAATTGCGCGGCAATTTTAATTAAAAAAATAAACATTAATTTTTGTGATTGATATTATGCATTTTATTTATATTATATAAGATTTAAATTTAGGGGAAAATTGGAAAAAAAATAAGATTGGAAGTCTTTAGGTAAGAAGGAAAGGGCAAGAGATATATAGTGTACCTATATACCTCTTGCCCTTTCATTCTAAGTAGAAATGGGAGAAACTTTGTCCGCATCATAAGTTATGCGGACAAAGTTTCTCCGATTTCTAATGGGAATTGCAGGCTATGAGGCACTGATATATAATCAGTACCTCATAGCCTACAATTCCCCTTATTAGACTTCCAAACTTTGAGTTAATGTCAAGACATTAACTCAAAGTTTGGAAAACTTCTCGTAAGAATCAATCGTCAAAAACCTCGATTGCAGTTATATTCATTGTGTTAAATTTGATTTATTTTGAAATTTTTATAAATTAAATTTTATATAACATAAAGCGTTATGAATTAGTATTTCCATATGAATTTTATCTCGAAAATAGTAATTCTGTACAGTTATATTTCGGTTAATTTTGGAAATTTCTAGGAATACTTTAAGATAGTATGATTATATATAACTCTGCCTTCATGATTTATTTTAGCTTTCGCGCAAATATCAGTTAACTTAACTGCATTATTTGATTTTGTGATGGCTTCACAAAGCCAATCAATATCAATCTCTTCTGGAGAATGTCTTCTCATCTAGAATATTTTCAATACTTTACATACAAACATTTTTATTTCTAAAAAACTTTTTAATTTTTTCTAGGATATATGAATGAAAATAGTTAGAACAAGATTTTGAAGCTCAAAACATTAAAAATTATTAAAGATTTGTATAATATGATTAAAAATGGGAAATAATATGAGGCAATATAAAGGAATATGAATATTAAATAAATATATCTAAATAGAAAGAATCAGAAAAATCAAATTATTGGCGCCAAAAATGTCACCTTTTTGGTGAGCCATTTCGGTATGAGATAGCTTGAATATCATTAAAGCATCTTTAAAGAGTGGAGGAATTCCATCACGTGTCCATTGTAACTGTTCACGTGTAGCTCTGGAAAGGGATAGTGGAAGATCTCCACTTCTTAAAGCAGTATTAATTGTTTCCAGATTATCAAAGATGAAAAACAGAGTATCATATATGTAGAGCCAGCGAGTTTCCGGGATTGATGGAACCCTGATCTTGTATCTCGCTCTCATATCGTGATTCTTAAAGATAATGATAATCTGGTGAACTCTATTCATCAGTTCATTCAACAATGGACATTGCTTACGTGCGTGGACAATAGCATTGTTCAAGACGTGGTTAAGGCAACGAATGTACACGGTTTGTAAGCCAGGGAAAAGGGCTCCTTCTGGCCTCCAGTGGCAGAGTCCTTTAACCTGGGCTGGCAAACCATCTCCGACTACTCCAGCTACGTGGTTTTTATTAACCTTAAGAGAATCAAACCACGTATGGTAGTCCTCGTATGTCCAATTAGTCGAAATTGTTGTGTCGAAGAATTGGTGGCGATCTGTTTTGCCTGGATTGCACACACAAGAGAATAGACCATGACGACTGCCGTGTGTTCCGCAGTCCAGGGAAATTGAGAAGATGCGGAATTCCTCGCAGTTAGTACACATATCATGGGTACGGCGGCACTGCGCGCCTCCTTACCCACTATATGTGAATTTGACACTTTACAAAACCGTTAACGTATATTTTACAACACAAACGACAACACTAACTTAACCTTAAATATTTACAAAGCCACCAACCACTTCACCTCACTAATGTAAAAAATAAACGTTCTCACTTACAAAAGTATTGCAACTCCTCCCATTGCTGTGCTTCACATAACAGCTCATAATCTTCTGACTCACTTTCTTCTTCATATAGGTCAAAGTCACTGTCAAAATAAATGTTAGTAAGTTTTGACAAAGCTAATGAAACACGCTTACCGTTTGTATCATATGCTTGTATAAACTTTCCATTATGCTTGTAGTCATAAACGCTCAAACTAACTTTACCCTTTCTCCCTCGTATCTGATAGAATGTATTTTCACGAGGAACGAAGAACAAATTCTTGAACTCATGACCGTTGTAGTTTGTTATCTCAATAGTTTTCGTCATTTATATAAAAATAAAATATAAAATAAACTTAAAAATTAATGATATCACCACCCTCACACGTATGAAAACATAGCACAAAAATAAATTTAGGTGAAGTGGTGAGATCTCACCTGTTTTTTCACCCTGTTGAATTCATTGCTTTATAACTCTCTTCCTTGGTTTCTTTTTAGTTGCTTTCTTCACGTCTGTCTCCAACTTGACTGTCTTTCTTCTTCGTCCGTAATGATACCAGTTACTTCCACCAGTCAATGGGTCAAATGGTCGTTCATAAGGGTTTCCATACATTCCATAAGGTCCGTATGGATAAACCACTGGTGGAGAAGAAACATTTTCTTTAGTTCCATCGAATCTATTTAAATGCATTGTTTCACCTTTCATCTGGTCATTAAAGTCTTTTGCGTGTTTTGCAAACTCATCGTCCTTTCCTAAAGCATTTTCTGACTCAGTCGCAACCAAATTGGATGCTTTATTTATGAGCCCTATTTTATTTAATCTTAACTTCTTTGCAACCCAGCCTCCAATCTTCCCTTTATTTGCATCTAATGTCTTCGAAACCCTTCCTCCACTCATTTTATTTACTGCGTCATAAGCTCCAAGTGCTTTTGCTCCAAATGCTAATGCTTTTGTTCCCATTGCGCCTAAAGCTGCCCAAGCTACCATTTACACCATATTAAAATCATCTCTCTTCAATATTATCTCATAAAAGTTCTCGTTACTGGAGAAAGTCAATGAAACATAAGCGTTCTCACGGGCTTCGCCCTCACCGCTTTGCGGTCTATCTAACTTATTTCTTATATCATCTATACGCTTCAAAATGTCTGAACGATTGCTAACATCTTCTACAACAGTTATTTCATCATGAATGACCTTCAAGAACAAGCTCATTTAATATGCAATTAAAATCATTTCAATAATGAGTCCATCCTTTCCATCTTTAGGTAGCACAACATCTTTCATTGAAGAAGGTTCGACAAGTCTTATGTTAAACTTACTGACAAAGTTTGTTATACTATAATGCTTCGGCGGCGAATACATGTAGTTTGAAAGACATAATATAGATTCTTCAGCAAATTCACTTATACTGGATTTTATAACAATGTTCTCACGAGACCAAATACCACCAATTGACAATCTTGTAAGCAATCCTGCTGAACCTTCTACTGTAAACGTCGATGGTAACATTCCACGAAGGTCATCTATTGACATCGTTGAGTCACTGAATTTAAATATTTTCTTAAAGCAATCGTCATTATCTAACCATGCAATAGCTTTGAAGTTTTCATTCGAATATACATCTGCTTCATTAAATGTAAATCCTGACTTCTTTGCAGAGACGACTTTAAAATCTATTGTGTTTGTTTCAAAATTATATGCTATGCTAACTTCTGAAGGTAATGGATGTCCTTCCGCAGTAAGTTGTTCTCTCACTACCGTTTGAAGCTTTGTATTAAAAACTTTCATGTCATCTCCTGTATCTAAGTTCACATACACAGCAACAGGGAAACTATCTTGCTTCTTTGTTTCATCATTATACCTCAAAACATTAAAGTTCTTCAATAATATTGTTCTTCCTGCTGGAATACTTCGAACCTGTCTGATTTCAATAGCTTTCTCACCTCCTACATACTCTACCCAGTGTCTTGGATATTCATAAGTATACTGACTTTCTTGAATTTTGGTAGGTTTCATCATAACGTGTTCATAGTATATCTTTATACTCTTGTCAGTTAGACTCGGTGCTATGTTCTGAATATTTCTGACTTGCATTTTTAATGGAGATAAAATGAAGCATTTAATACATGACGTAGATGAAGACATGAATGAAACTACAGACAAACTTAACTCTTCTCTTATTCTTCCTTTCAGTAAGGACTATGAGTTCTGTTCAAATGGTGTGTATTTCTATTGTGGAAAGATGGGTTCAGGTAAGACATTTAATTTAATTCGTCATATACTCATAACAGAACGTTTAGGAAATGACTCATATTATGACCAAATCATTATATCAGCAACTTCAGACTCTATGGACTCAACAGCGAAAACATTTATGTCAAAAGTTCAAGCCTCTGTCGTTAAAGTTCCAGACAGTGAACTCATTGAATTTCTTCAACGTTACATTCGACGTAAGAGGAAATATTATGCCATCGTAAAGATGGGTTCAGGTAAGACATTTAATTTAATTCGTCATATACTCATAACAGAACGTTTAGGAAATGACTCATATTATGACCAAATCATTATATCAGCAACTTCAGACTCTATGGACTCAACAGCGAAAACATTTATGTCAAAAGTTCAAGCCTCTGTCGTTAAAGTTCCAGACAGTGAACTCATTGAATTTCTTCAACGTTACATTCGAAGTAAGAGGAAATATTTTTTCTAACCAGCAATTCTTAAATTCGGATAAAAAATCGATATGTATTACACTTTAAACTTCAAAAAATGGTTCAAAATTTAGACTTAGTTTATCTTAACTATATTTACTCTTTAAATTCTAATATAATATAAATTCTTCATTTCCTTTGTTTAAACTTTTTTCATTTTAATACCATTTTATCAGATAGTAATTTTTGTTTTTCTCTGACCAAAAATCTTCTCAATTTAACTCCACCTTCACAAAAATTCATTGAGTTCTCTCAAAATTCTTGTATTTTTGGTATACTTAAAGTATCATCTTCAAATATTTTTTTGGAGAAAATTGACTTTGCATAATATCGTAATACTTTTTAAGGCAGATAGATTTACTGTAAGTTGAAGAACTTTTAATTTGAACAGAAATTATTCAACAAATATTCTTTTTATTTGATCAAGATACGTATACCAATATGATCTACTTGCTAGGGATATGTAGATCACGTTCAGAATTTGCCAAGTTTGGTGAATATCTATGGGATTAGGGACATCTATTTAATTTAAGAACTAAAAATTAGCATAGGCGTATTATGCTGTTACTGAAATATATTTTGGATGTATAAATTTTTACTTAATACTCTTTTATTGTTATCATTTTTAAAGATTTTTTATTATGAGCAAAAAAATGGCAAGACAATAATATATTGTACATGCAATTTATTATTACTGAATAAATTTATCAATCAAATTTGATCACATACAATTTTTACAGATAAATACATTATCTCAAAAATATCTATATATTAGTATATGTTACACGAAATGTAATAAAATGTATTACTTTGGTTTATCAATTTATAAATAAGAATGAAAATTTGTTATAGCTTTGTTCCAATATTTATTTTTATATATTTAAGTTATCCATTTTACTGTTTTCATTCATATTTATAACAAAATTAGAGTCCTTACATTATTTATCTTATTTCAATAGTGATAAAAATCAACTATATTTTGTAAGATCTTAAAAAGTGACAAAAATGGAAAACTACATTAAATTTATTTATAAGGATACAAAATTATATGTCATTCCACCAAGAGCGGTTAAAGCATTAACACTTTATTTATATATATCTCACAAGCTAAGTTTACCTCTAAACACATTCGAATTAACAACAAATAACAAAAATTTAGGTGTTCTGGATAATTTGCGCTGTAATAACAAAATTACTATCAATATTAAAAGAAAAAAGAAGCCTTTTAACTTATTTTCAATTCCGATTGTAAACAGTATAAAAACTTCTGAAGATCAAGACAAAAAGATTAATCAAATATCACAAAATGACGAAAATTTATTGTGGGCAGCCAAGTTTGCGTTGTATATGAGCAATAACATAATAGAAGAAGCAATTAAAATCATGAATTTCAATTGTCTTCAGGAAGTATTCAATCCTGTTGATGAAATTAAAAAAATGTTAGAAGGAGAGTATAAAGTAACAATTTCAGATGGAAATAAAAATAAATTATATGAGACAATTTTACCAAATGAAGAAGCTGAAGATTCTTATAGTGAGAATGATAGTGATATCGATTATGATGAAGAAAGTAAACAAAAGGATAAAAATGATTTTTCTATAGAAACTCATGATAAAGATAACAATATAAGAAAGAATTGGCCATTTCAAGATGAAGACAACGAAAACTCGGATTCTCTATTAAACAGATATTTAAGTTCCGAAGAATTCAATGAATTCAAAGAGGAGGAGAATGAACAAATTTTATTAGATGAACAAACTGCAACAATAAGTGGAGTAACTGCTCAAAATTCAAATATAAGACAAAATGAAACAATAAGTGGAGTTTCTCCTCCAAACACAAATCAAAGATAAAATGAAACAATAAATGCAGTTTCATTTCCAAACACAAATCAAAGACAAACTGCAACAATAAATGCAGTTTCATTTCCAAACACAAATCAAAGACAAACTGCAACAATAAATGCAGTTTCATTTCCAAACACAAATCAAAGACAAACTGCAACAATAAATGCAGTTTCATTTCCAAACACAAATCAAAGACAAAATGAAACAATAAATGCAGTTTCATTTCCAAACACAAATCAAAGACAAACTGCAACAATAAATGCAGTTTCATTTCCAAACACAAATCAAAGACAAACTGCAACAATAAATGCAGTTTCATTTCCAAACACAAATCAAAGACAAACTGCAACAATAAATGCAGTTTCATTTCCAAACACAAATCAAAGACAAACTGCAACAATAAATGCAGTTTCATTTCCAAACACAAATCAAAGACAAACTGCAACAATAAATGCAGTTTCATTTCCAAACACAAATCAAAGACAAACTGCAACAATAAATGCAGTTTCATTTCCAAACACAAATCAAAGACAAAATGAAACAATAAATGCAGTTTCATTTCCAAACACAAATCAAAGACAAACTGCAACAATAAATGCAGTTTCATTTCCAAACACAAATCAAAGACAAACTGCAACAATAAATGCAGTTTCATTTCCACACACAAATCAAAGACAAACTGCAACAATAAATGCAGTTTCATTTCCAAACACAAATCAAAGACAAACTGCAACAATAAATGCAGTTTCATTTCCAAACACAAATCAAAGACAAAATGAAACAATAAATGCAGTTTCATTTCCAAACACAAATCAAAGACAAACTGCAACAATAAATGCAGTTTCATTTCCAAACACAAATCAAAGACAAAATGCAACAATAAATGCAGTTTCATTTCCAAACACAAATCAAAGACAAACTGCAACAATAAATGCAGTTTCATTTCCAAACACAAATCAAAGACAAACTGCAACAATAAATGCAGTTTCATTTCCAAACACAAATCAAAGACAAAATGAAACAATAAATGCAGTTTCATTTCCAAACACAAATCAAAGACAAACTGCAACAATAAATGCAGTTTCATTTCCAAACACAAATCAAAGACAAACTGCAACAATAAATGCAGTTTCATTTCCAAACACAAATCAAAGACAAAATGCAACAATAAATGCAGTTTCATTTCCAAACACAAATCAAAGACAAAATGCAACAATAAATGCAGTTTCATTTCCAAACACAAATCAAAGACAAACTGCAACAATAAATGCAGTTTCATTTCCAAATCAAAGACAAAATGCAACAATAAATGCAGTTTCATTTCCAAACACAAATCAAAGACAAAATGCAACAATAAATGCAGTTTCATTTCCAAACACAAATCAAAGACAAACTGCAACAATAAATGCAGTTTCATTTCCAAACACAAATCAAAGACAAACTGCAACAATAAATGCAGTTTCATTTCCAAACACAAATCAAAGACAAACTGCAACAATAAATGCAGTTTCATTTCCAAACACAAATCAAAGACAAACTGCAACAATAAATGCAGTTTCATCCAAACACAAATCAAAGACAAAATGCAACAATAAATGCAGTCACAAACATCAAAGACAAAATGCAACAATAAATTCGGATATTCAGCGTCAAATCCCTCAGCATCAATCCTCACTACCTAATGAAACTGCTTCTTATTCTTCCCAAATTTCTAATCATTTAACCGATAATCCTCCATTAACAGATTTACAAAATACACATCTAGTGCCAAATTTTGCTTATGATTACCAAAATAATTTTTCAACGCATAAACAATCTATTATCGTTAATAAAGCTTGCATTGAACTTATTCCTAATTATCAATCTTTTGATGATAAAAATAAAGAGATTCACCGAAAAAGAATCAAAAATATTCTGAGGACTTATCATACATTTTCAATTTCCCAATCCGCACGTATTAAATATTCATTAACCATATATACAAATGGTCATCCTTTGAGATTTCAACGTTACAATGCTCATAATAATTATTTAGAAATTATTTATTATTGCGGATATAAACCTAGATGCAACTTTTGTATGCATGTAAAAGTCTTTGATGAGAAATTAAATATTTCTCCTGAAGAAAAACCAGACAGTAAACTTCATAACTGCCGACCTGCAAAACAATCTCAAATAATTAAAGGAACAAATCCAATGAACTATGATATTGAATCTCAAGTTCAAGATTATGTTGTCAAAAATCCAACCGCAACGATATCAGAAACAAGAAAGTATGCAATCACTGATATATGACTGTAATCAAGCCCAGTCTACTAATTTCATTCAGATATCAGAGAAGAAAGTCCAACAGCTGTATTATGAAGTTCATCCTGTCAAATCAAAATCAGAGATTGATCTTATTAATGAAATGTTAGAATTTTTTAATCAAAGATCATATTTTATTACCCAAAGCACAAAAAATGATAATGCCTATTATTTTTTTGGATTGGAACGTTTCATTCGAGTTGCACGGTATTCATCACATTGTTTTATTGATGGAACCTTCAAAGTCGTTCCTGTATCAATAATGAATGGCCAATTATTAAATTTGTTAATTTTTGACCAAGCAACTCAACTGTATCTACCGTTTTTACATATAATCATGACGGGAAGAACAGAAACTGATTATCAAAGAGTATTTAGTATTATGGAGTATGATACTGATATTAAAATTCCTTTATCAACATTTGATGTTATAACAACTGATTTCGAAAAAGCACTTCAAGGCTCAATTTATAAAAGAAAAGGAGAGCAAACCATATTGACTGGATGCATATATCACTTTATTGCAGCATTAGTTAAGAATTTCAAGAAAAAATGTGATCCAGAAGATCTTAACAATAAAATTCTTTTAAAGTTATTATGCGCTTCTCCATTCATGCCAGAAGAAGTTTTTGATTTGGTTTGTAATAAAATTAAATGCATTCAAGATACAAATGAATTTGCAAAATACTTTATTAAAACATGGAGCACAAGCTATAATTCAATCAGCAAGCTCAAAGTATTCGACAATATTTATTCTAATAATGGCGTAGAATCGTACAACAAAGTGTTAAATACAAATATTGTATATTCACATCCCACAATTTTAAAGACGGTACACACTTTAATGAAAGTGGATTTAGCGATTTTGCATCGATATGCACGGGCAGATAAAAACACAAGTGATCATAAACAGTCGTATTTCATTAAATTGAAAAAAATAAATGAAGAGATTCAGTTATTTGAAGAGCATTTTGGTCTGGAAATATCATTAATTCCTGAGGATATAATGAAAAAATATAAGGATTTGTCCAAACATTCTGGAATTGATTTCAGAGATATTGAAATTGAAAGGTATATGTCAAGTGATCAAATACTTGATGACATTCAAATAAATTTAGAAGAAACAAAAAATGAAAAGATAGAAAACATTGAAATTGCCGAAGATGATTTATTTCAATAATATGTAACATTGATTTCTATTCAACTTTATCGTTATTATAATAAACATTTTTATGATTTTTTTAATATTTTTTATAAGTAGATTGAAGATTATTTGATGGAAAGATGTATATATATATACATAATGTACCTTACAATATCTTCATGCTATGAATTCCAGAATAATGACAAGTCTTTCATTCTTAATTAGAAGTCTCCAATATTTTGTCTATTTTTTCATATTTTTTCTATTTTTTTCACCATTTAAAATTTCTTAAATTCTAAATATAGCAAATTATATCATTTTACTTTCTGCAACGATTTAATCGATAATTATATGAATATTATTGTAAATATTTCTAAAATATTTTAAATACAAATAATTTTAAACTGAACCAAATAAATTGGATAACTTTAACTCAATCAAATAAATATTAATATGAATTTTTATAGAAAAGCTTTATTTTTTTCTCAATTTTTAATTTCATTTCAGTCTCTAAACTTTCTTACTATGTAAAAACGTATTATTATAGTAATAAAATAAAATACATGTTTATTCGATCTCGTATTTCAAAAAAATAAAATTACTTATATAAAAAGATTCTCTTTAGTCAACTTTCTTTTTGAATCTCTAATAAGTTTTTACTGTTGCTTCTATATATTAAGTATTGATTCTTGTAGTAAAGAAAATCCGGAACGTTTATTTATTAGAATACTCGAACTTTGACTTACATATTACTAATTGTAATTATTTTCAAGAGCTATTTCTATTACTCCTACTTGTTCGGCTTAAAATCTGCTATATTGTTAAGATAAACTAAGTCTAAATTTTGAACCATTTTTTGAAGTTTAAAGTGTAATACATATCGATTTTTTATCCGAATTTAAGAATTGCTTCAAAGTTTTAGCGTGAAATCGTGCATTTTTTCTAATGAAATTGTTATTATAAGATAAGCAATCTGAGTTTTTTTGAATAATATGTCACTACACATGATAGAGCGTTACGTGCTGAAAAGTTACGCTTCGTTCTGAAAGTGGTAATGAAGTTTTATTAGAATTCATCAAAAAAACGTATGAAAATAATCGTATGTCAAAATGTGAGCACTTCTCAAAATTTGCTCGCATTTTGACTATTTTTGTGAGATCTTCCTCACAATTTTTTGACAAACGTACAAAAAGTGCCAAAATGTGAGCAAATGTGAGCAATTTTTATATCTCGTAAAGACAGTAATGACAACATTAGAGAACACAACAACAGTTATAGTCCATGAAGCTATAAATGAAGAATACGAGTACATACAATATAACAAACAGTTACGTCTCATTCGTTCAGTCAAAGATGACATGTACCAAATGCAAAGTATAATGAATGCTCTTCGTTCTACAAAGCAAGCATATCATTGGTTTGAAAACCAACAGACAAAAGAACTTTTAGAAGAATTTCCTCATATGATTGCTTCCCTCGGAAAACCGAGA